AAGAGGGTCTTGAGACCGGCCTTGAAGGAGGCAAGGAAGGAAGCGAGGCAAAGAGACTGTGGGATGGAGTTCCAGAGTGTGGGGGCAGAAAGGCTGAAAGCCTTGAAAATGAGGACGGCCACCGATTGTAGGGTAGGGCGAGGATGGGAGTGATGGGGTCACGGAGCCTGGTGCGCGAGACTACATGAGCTGCAGAGTTTTGGATGATCTGCAGCTTGTGAAGGGAAGAGTTGGGAAGGCCGATGAGGTGGGAGTTTCCATAATGGAGCTTTGATATGACGAATGCGTGGTTGAGGGTTTCAGCAGCCTGAGGGGTGAGGCATTGGCGATCGTGGTGGTAGGCAGTGCCAGTCATGGCGCGGATGTGGGGGAGATAGGGCAGTTCAGGGTCAAACAAGACACCCTGGGTCCTGACTGGCTTAGTGAGGTTGAGTGTGCAGCCGTGGAGGCTGATGCTGCCAGCACCCGAGGTGCGGAGGCGCTTGCGCCAGCCAATCAGGAGGGCATCGGTCTTGCTGAGGTTCAGTTGGAGAAAATTGTCCCTCGTCCAGGACTTGATGTCGGAAAGGCAGTCGGTCAGGACGCCAGTAGTCCTGGAGTTGAGGGTGGAGGCAGAGAGATAGAGTTGGGTGTCATCCGCATACATGTGGAAATTTACCCCATGTCTGCGGATGATGTCACCAAGGGGGAGCACGTAGAGGATGAAGAGGAGGGGACCGAGGACAGAGCCCTGAGGAACGCCCCACAAGACGGTGCAGGGGCTGGAGGAGAAGCTGTTTGCAGAGACGAAGTGGAGGTGGTGTGAAAAGTAGGAACTGAACCAATCAAGGACAGAACCTTGAAGGTTGAGGTGGGAGGAGATGCGGTGGAGGAGGATTAAGTGGTCCACAATATCAAAGGCGGCAGAGAGGTCGAAAAGGACGAGGAGGCAGAGGGAGCCCTGGTCACACATGGTCAGTATGTCATTTGTGACCTTGACCAGAGCAGTTTCCATTCTGTGGGCAGCACGGAAACCCGATTGGAGGGGCTCATGCAGGGAGTGGGAGGAGAGGAAAGAGCGAAGCTGGGAGGCGACATCTCTCTCAAGGACCTTAGGTAGAAAAGGGAGTTGGGAGATGGGCTGGTAGCTGGATAGCTGTGATGGGTCAACGGATGGTTTCTTCAAGATGGGGGTGTTTTGAAGGGGGTAGGACCAGTGCCAGATGACAGGGATGTCGGCGAATAGTGGGGCAAGGAGGTGGAGCTGGAATTTAAGGAGAGTGATGGACCTGGGGTCCAGGGAGCAGGTGGTGGGCTTCATGGAGGATATGGTGGTGATGACAGAGGAGGGAGTGACAAGTTCAAAGGTGTGGAAGGAGGGATGGGTAGTGGTCGGAGTGTGTGGGGGAGTAGGGAGGGAGTGGAAGTTGGGAGAGCAGTGGCAGCTGAGCAGATTTCCTCGATTTTGGACTCAAGTAAGTCCAGCATTTCCTCGCAGTGAGAGTCAGAGGAAAGAATCTGCGAGGTGTGGCGGAGAGGACGGAGGAACCGGTTGGTGGTAGAGAACAGGAGCCTGGCGTTGCCCTTCGCCTCCAGAATTAACCTGGAGTAGAAGGATGATTTGGCCGAGGTGAGAGCGGAGCGGTAGGTTTTGATGTGGTCCAGCCAGATGTGCCGGTGGAACGTTAGGCCAGATTTGGGATCCAATAAATTCCCCATTTGGGAATTCTAAAGCTGAATTTACACTAGAACTCTTTCATAATAATAATCCTTGCATTTGATGTAGCGCTTTTCACGTCGGGAGGACGTCCCAAAGCGCTTCACAGAACACACTGTAAAGTGAATTGACTGTATATTTGTGGGCGAACGCGGCAGCCAATTGCGCACAGCAATGTCCCACAAACAGTCGTAGATTGAAAATGACCAATTTATTATTGGGTTTTTTTTGGAGGGATTATTATTAGGTGTGTGGAGTAAGGAAACTTGCCCAAGGTTTCGCCCTCTGCCTGGAATTGAACTCAGGTCTCTCACTTGCAAAGCGAGTGCTCTAACCACTGAGCTACAGGACTCCACCTTTCATAATACAATTGTGGAGTTATTTAGTAACCAATGCTAATTTTTAATATTTGCTTCAAATATAAGGAGTTTTAGCTCAACTAGATGAAGATGTAATTAAATTCATTAATTACAAAAATAGTCACTGCATTTGACACTTATTACATATGAAGTGCTTTGAGATGTCTTCAAGTCATAAATAAGTTGCAGTCCCCTTAATACTGCCATACCGTTACAATAACACTCTGTAATCTAAATTAAAACATATTTTCTAGTATATCTTGTCTTAAAGCCATCGGGATTATTACTCAATTTTGAATCCCACAGACTTTAGCAATGTAGACTTGTTAAAAACGATGGAAAAAGTCACCACAGAGACTTGTCATTGTTTTGAGTTAAATGGCATCTAATTCTGAATAGCTTTACAAAGGTCAGACTACTTCAGAATTAATAACATGGAAAATGAAAGTCTTAGTGAGAGGGAAGTAAATCAAGGGAACAAACATGAAGAGGTCATCAGCATAGGCTGAGCTTCAATGTGATATTGTTCTAAATGGTAACACAAAGAACATCTCAAATAAAACACTGTTTACTGTTTCTTTGTATTAAGAGGAGTCTGAGGCCCTTGATACAGTGGAGCTTGTGTATAAATCCCCCCCTCCATCATAAAGGCTCCAAATTAAAAAAAATTCTGACAGGGTTGACTAGTTAATAGTTGAAGACAACACCCCACTACCCAAGATGCCACGGATCTGCTTACAATCTTGATTCTAATCCCTTAAATCAAACAATTGCTGTAATAATAATAATCCTTGCATTTGATGTAGCGCATTATCACTTTGTTGAGACGTCTCGAAGTGCATTACAGAATATATTGTAAAGTGAATTGACTGAAAATGTTGTGGGCAAAATGCAGCAGCCAATTGCACACAGCAGTGTCCCACAAACAGTCATTTATTATAATTGTTATAATAATAATAATCCTTGCATTTGATATAGCAGTTTGCACGTCTTCTAGACGTCTCAAAGCGCTTCACAGAATATACTGTAAAGTGAATTGACCGTATATATGTGGGCGAAACGCGGCAGCCAACTGCGCACAGCAGTGTCCCCACAAACAGTCGTGGATTGAAAATGACCAATTTATTATTGTTTTGGAGGGATTATTATTAGGCGTTTGGAGTAAGAAAACTTGCCCAAGGTTTCGCCCTGCCTTGTGTGGTGCACATCCACAGATATGAAGAGACATTAAGGGACCATGTTGTAAGGAGGCACACACACGGTCAAGATGCCTGCCTTGACATCATTCCAATTCTTCTTTTGCACATGTATAAAGTTTAGTTTGAGCGAAAAATGTTTCCCATGGACACACAGACCGAGAATCCTGAGTGAGCACAAGGGACGAATGTACGAGAGACAGGGTAAGAGTGCGAATGGATGAGGTAATAGATAGAGGAAAGGACGAAAGAATGTTCGTGAGAGAGAAGAGTGAATTACGTACTAGGAGATGTAAGAGAAACAAAAACAGTCTCATTGAAAGGGAAGGAGGACTGAGGAGAGGAAAAGTCAGAGTGACTCACTCTCCTTGATCGGTGTTCAGCACATCTATAATGTATATAAAGGATTCTATAAAATCAAAGTTGTTCAGGTGGAGAAGCAACAAGTGAGTGTTACAGAGAGTGCAAGAAAGTCTGACGAGAAAGAGTGACATACAGATAAAGCCCACAGTGAGATGGGGATGACAGGGAGACAAAAGGAATTGAGGGAGAGAAAAGCACAAAGACAAACAGAACATGGACTCATTCACAAAGTAGTTATTAATGTAGATGGGAATAATAGTGAGCAGCAATGTTATGCTGGTAACACAGAATGGGCTCTTCAGCACCTTCAGTGTACCAATGTGTTAGGCAAGTATATAATGGATAACAACATGTGCAGAAATACTCTGACTTTTGAAGGAAGGCAGTGCAGCTAACTTGACTGGTATGGTTAATGTTGTGTGTTGCATTACTCACACGAGCAGGTTAGGATCACAAAGGTATCAGGTTCTAAACATCCTGCATTGAGCTGTCAGCGTCCTGTAGCTCAGTGGTTAGAGCACTCGCTTTGCAAGCGAGACCCGGGTTCAATCCCAGGCAGAGGGCAAAACCTTGGGCAAGTTTCCTTACTGCACACAGAGCCTAATAATAATCCCTCCAAAACCAATAATAAATTGGTCATTTTCAATCCACGACTGTTTGTGGGACATTGCTGTGCGCAATTGGCTGCCGCGTTCGCCCACAAATATACAGTCAATTCACTTTACAGTGTGTTCTGTGAAGCGCTTCAGGACGTCCTCCCGACGTGAACAGCGCTATATCAAATGCAAGGATTATTATTATTATTGAGGGTGGAACAAGACGTGGAGGTTCCATGCTGACTGGATGACGTGTAGAGCGCATCCATCGAGTGATCAATAGTGACGATAGTTTGGTGATGGAGCCCAGTGTCCAGTTCTGAGAAACTGGAAAGTTGGCCACGTTTATAATGCGGCACATTTGGATCCACTCGCTCTGACCCAGACCTCCCCCCGACCGCCATGAGAGGGGGTCTCGACAACCGTCCGTCTCTCGGGGCCGCCGGGACCCTCGAGGTGGAGGAGGCTGATTTGGTGGAGTTCGCCGGTCGCGGCTCCTGACTGAACAAGTGCACCCCCGTCGATGCAACGGTTCTTTTTAACTCAGATGAGGAATTTCGCTGAAAAGCGCCGGGAAAGAGATGCACGAGGGCTCCTTCTCTCTCGTTTTTTAAAAAAAAAGCCAAGCGCGCGGGTTGGCGTCGCCCTGGTTACCGCGCGCTGCCCGCGGGGTGGTTTGCCGCGCGCGGTAACCAGGGCGGCGGTAACCAGGGCGACGCCAACCGCCTCGAACCGCCCGCGGCCAACGGTCCTCGGCGGGACGGCGCGCGGGGTGGGGCGGGGCGGGGCCGAGCGGCGCCTCCCTCAGGGGAAGATGAAGGGTCACGTATACCTCAGGCACAGGCCGCAGTCCTCGCCCGCAGCCGGAGGGAAGCCGCCCCCTCAGAGAAAGGTAACGGCTTTGTCCGAGAGCGAAACCCCCGCTGAGAATCCCGCGCGGCGGCATTGCCGCTCGACACCCATCGCCATCGCGCTCGCGGCTGCCATCGTGAAAGCTTAATGGGAAGAAGGGGCTGCAGGTCACACCGCTGGGGCCACCATTCCCAATTCAACCCAACCTCTTCCCAGCTGAGCCTCGCCCAAGCCTTGCCATCCAACTACATCCACATTACCTCTGCCCCCCAACCACCAACACCAGATCCCCATTACCTCTGCCCTCCCCCCGACACCAGATCCCCATTAACTGCCCTCCAACGCCAGATCCCCATTACCTCTGCCCTCCAACACCAGATCCCCATTAACTACTCTCCAACACCAGATCCCCATTAACTACTCTCCAACACCAGATCCCCATTAACTGCCCTCCAACACCAGATCCCCATTAACTGCCCTCCAACACCAGATCCCCATTAACTGCTCTCCAACACCAGATCCCCATTAACTGCCCTCCAACCCCAGATTCCCATTACCTCTGCCCCCCCCAACCACCAAATCCCCATTACCTCTGCAGCCCCCAAGCACCAACACCAGATCCCGATGAAATTTCTTCCAATTAAACCCAATCTGCCTCCAGCTAACCCTACCCCACAAACTACACCATCCACCCATATCCCCATTTAAACCTGACCTGTGCACAGCTAAATCAACCCAATCCAAACAGGTTCCCTATTAATCTAACTCCCAACCAGAATTCCTAGTTAAATCCAAACCATCCAAGTTGCTAGATAATTATAACTGGTTCCAAGCAGGAATCTTTATGGGAACCTTTGCAGTGAGGGAAACCTTTAACCTAATATAGGAGTCCTGGAGCTCAGTGGTCAGAGCACTCGCCTTGCAAGTGAGAGACCTAGTTTCGATTCCTGGCAGGACGATACCTTGGGCAAGTTTCCTTACTGCACATGCCTGATAATAATCCCTCAAGAAAAAAGCACAATAAAATTGGTCAGTTCAATCCACGACTGTTTGCGGGACACTGCTGTGTGCAATTGGCTGCCGCGTTTTGCCCACAAACATAGTCAATTCACTTTACAGTATATTCTGTGAAGCGCTTTGAGACGTCTAGAAGATGTGAAAAGCACTGTATCAAATGCAAGGATTATTATTAACCTCAAAACAAAAAAGAAAATCCCACAGTAGTTGGCAAACCCACTGGGTTTTTTTCAGTCTTGCACTCTTCCCCAGACTGCCAAGGGTTGGTTACATGACAAAAGTTTAGCTTTACTGATCCACAATTTTTAAAACCCACTTTTGTACAAAAAAATAGTTGTTTTGTGTAAATGACCACAAGAACCTACAGGGATGTATTGAAAAAAACTGCTTTTCTTCTTTCCACCCCAGCCCAAAGCAGTCTCCAAAGTTGTCCATGTAGGAGGTCTTGTGCAACTAATGTCTTCCATTTTACACAGAGGATTTACTAACCACATCATTACTCAGTATCCGGTTTAAGGCTTGCTTTTTGCATTTATTAGAATAAAATGCAGTCTTCATCTTCAAACCCACTCAAGTTCTAAATCAATTGTTTTTCAGTACAATTCTTTTTAGATTTTTCATGTTAACCATTTTTCTTTGCTGTCCAGATAAAACTCAGTTTTGACTAGTATTAAAAGCGTGTTCCTTTCTGGGATTTATAGTTTATTTCGAACCTGAGAGGTGCGCTTACCCACAGACCAAGCAGGAAGCATAATTTGAGGTTTATCTTTAAATTTACAATTGAATTAAACCTTAATTATGGTGTGATATTTCACTGACCATTAGTGCATTTTCGTCTAAGGAAAAAAACTGATTTTTTATGACCAATAGTCTATAGAAATAGTGAAGTGGATAATAGACATTAATTACCTGGGTCATGAGAAAATGAACGTCAAGCAATTTAACAAAAGAATGCTGCCTCGTACAAGTTTCTGTTTGCGGCAGCAAATTATATCAACAACTAACCTAAACTATTTTAAGATTTAAAGGACTTTGGAAAGCCTTCTGAATTAACCTTTAGAATTTAATTTCAATAGGATGTTGAATTGAAAATCACAGGTCTGTTCCTCAATTTAAATCATGTTTGATTGTGTTTAAATATATTTTACTGAGAGCATTCTTATCTCTTCTCAAGCCAAATTATAGATATACCAATCGATCCACTAATATAGAAATGGAAATAGCAAATAATCTTTGACCATCAATACTCTTGTCAAATAAATTTATTATATTGAGTAGCACCAAAAGCTCTCTCATGGATAATTTGGGTTAAAATGTACTTGTACTCCCAACAAAGAGTTTTTGCTAAATGCAAGATACTGCAGATGCTGGAAATCCGAAACAAAAGCAGAAGTTGCTGGGAACACTCAGCAGATCAGGCAGCATCTATAGAGAAAGGAAAGTGAGTCAACGTTTCGGGTCCACGACCTTTTGTCAGAAGTAGTTTTTGTTGTTAGTCCTTAATCCTTTTTCAAAAAAAATTTTTTATTTACAAAACAGCAAAAGTAAAATGTCATCGTGAGCCTTTTATTCTAGCTATTTTGGGACAAATGCTCTGCAGTATAAGGGCAACACAAGTAATTATATCTTTACAAGTGATATTCTAACCAGTTTTCACATGGGAACTAAAAGTCCATTGAAATATTTATTTTTTCACCAGTATTTTGAAACAGATTCTGCTGTGTAACCATTTTTTCTTGATGTTATTCTACACTACAGTCATTAATCTCTGACTTTCAGAGCTTCCAACTATTGTGTTTGTTTTGGACTTTTTTAAATAGTTTGTCAGATACTTTTGTGTTTACGATCCAAATCACAAACCTCAGTTGATCTGGAAGAGTGAATATTCTGACACTTTCTACATATCTATATGAATTCACAAAAATGATTTAAAGATGGTTCACTTTGTGACAGTATTATTCCTGATGCCATCTTGGTTACAAGATTGGTTGACAGAGGCCACTTCAATATCACATGTTCAGGTGTGTTTGGAAGCAGCTTCAAATAGTAACTAGTAAGCTTCAAATCAGTGTTGGGTGCATCTCAGTAGAATATACAGCAACACCCAGTTTAAACTTTAATCAATTCAGATTGTCCACATGGGCATTCAGGTCAGTTCTAACCCCTATTGTTTGTGTTGTGGGAATGGTTTCACAGCACACTTCCATCAAATTGTAGGTGGTGCTCAGAGAATGTCACAGTCTATGATGGGCATCAAAAATATCAATTCATTCTCAGAGTTGAGGGTCCATTATGCAATATTTTTGTAACTTAATACATGTTCTCTCCTTTCAATAGGATTTATTTCAATCTTATGAAAGGTATCTGCATACTTCGGAGAAAATCAAGCCAACTGCTCAGAAGAACAAATATGAACCAAACAAATTCCCAAATATGTGTGTACACAAACTACTTGTAAACCCATTTGAACTAAATTGCACGACTGTAAAAGCATGGTAAGTCAATCAATAAAACATGGTGCAAGATATGATTCATATTTACAAGTGGAGAATTCACTGGTGACATGGTGTTTAAAATGATAATGTTTTGTAATACAATTTTAGTTATCTCAGACTTAATGGGCAAAATCTGAAGCTTATTTACAGAGCCCTCACTTCTAATTTCTTAACTACAGTTTAACACTTAGCAGTAAATATAATAAAAAATATAATCCTTGCATTCAATATGGTGCCTTATCACATCTTCGAGACGTCTCAAAGTGCTTCACAGAATCCTCTAAAGCTCTAACAGACAAATCAAAGGAAGGCTGTTAACTTGTTACTTCCTGTGTTGATCTGCTCTTTGCCTTGGCAAGTGGGTATTTACATTATGTAAGCTTCCAGAAGTGGACCACAGACTGCTTAAGCCTGGCCTTCAGCTTCATGTGAGAAAGTGCATGGCCAAAGCACAACAGTTCCTCTTGGCAACACAGAGAACAAGAACATGGGAATAGTCCCAAACCTATATTCTCTCACTCTGCTGTGGAGGCATAGTGTCACCAAAGATCATACTTCCAACCAAACATCTGCAGATGTAGTCATTTTGCAAGAGTTGCCTGCACAGACAGATGTTTAAAAGCTTGCCCAGCTTCCAATGAATTGTTACAGGCTATTCATTACTACTTGTCTAGTAGAAAATAACTAAACTGGATGCAGTCTTCCTCATGACTAGCTAGATTCTAGCTGGATGAATAGATGAAAGTTCATTTGTTCTCTAAGATTTTTCTCGAAGCTCCATCTAGCAGCCAAGCATTCACAAGAGCAGCATTTGTCGTGACATGGGAGAAGTCCAGTGCACCCTCTCAGCTCAAATTAATGTATTCAAGGTATAAAAACTGGTGATGGGATAAAAAAAATATTAAGCTCCAAAATAAATTTACTTTATTCATTGATTTCTTTCTGCATTAATTAAGTGGCTGTGAACCTTCTATTGGTCAATTAAAGAAGAGCAGAACTAATCAGACTTGGCGTCCAAAGTCAACAATCAGAAAATATATTGTTTCAAACGCAAAAGCGAGATTGCCTGCTGAGATCATAGAGCCATGCATTACAGGTAATAGTGAATCATTCATTTTAATTGTACACAGAATATTCTGTTAAAGTTACAGCAAATTGTGCAATTAAGAATTGAATCAAAGGTTTAGAAACTTTTCAGTATACTTTTGATTCATACCTATGAATATATAGAAGACCCTTTAAATATTCTATCACAGCCCAATTACACAAGCAGAAGAACATGTAATTTCCATTCAGGTCTGAGCTTGAGTCAAATTCACATTCCTTTAGAAAAACAATCTTTACATTTGGTACAGCACTTTATCTCAAAGTGCTTCCCAAAGTGAGTGTAATAGGTCAGTGGGCAAATTTTACTACCTTGATTAGGGCATTATGTAGAGCACGGAACAGATTACTTGCTGTCTAAGCACCAGTGAAAAGCTGTTTTTTCAGTGAATGGTAGAGGAAAGTTATACTAGTAATTTCCTCCCCCATCTTCGTACTCCATTGTTATACTATTTGACATCCCTATGTTACAAAATGGTACTGGTATTAAACTTCAGACTTTAAGTTGATGCTTTGATAAGACACTAATAATAATCCTTGCATTTGATATAGTACTTTATCACGTCGTCAAGATGTCTCAAAACACTTCACAGGATTGTAAAGTGGATTGACTGTACTTTCTGGGCAAAATTAGCAGCCAGTTTGCACACTACAAAATCCCACAAACAGCCATGGAGTGAGTGACCAATTTTAATTGGGGGATTTGTTGGCCATGACACCGGGAGAAACTCCCTTCTCTTTTTGAATAACGCCTTTTAACGCCCACGTGAACAGGCAGACAGGACCTCGGTTTAACGTTTCATCCGAAGCGTGGCACCTCTGAAAATGCAACACGCCCCCAGCACTGCACTGGAGGGTCATCTTAGATTAAGTGATTCCAAGTCCCATTGTGGAACTATATCAAGTACAAGGATTATTATTTGTTAAGAATTATGACAGAAAAAGAAGTGGGACTGAATGGGTAGTTCTTTCAGAGACGTGATGGACCAATTGGCCTCCTATCCTGTGAATCCTATAATTCTAAGAAGCAGCCTATAAAATGTGAAGCAAATTATTTTTAATGAAAAATTGTGGACATAATTTATCGCAGTGATGAGGATGGTTTGTCCTTGGTTTGATTTTCTATGGGGACTTAGTATCAGCTCTGCAGATAGTATGTTGCTGCGTTAATAATCACGCAAATATCACAACCAATATAATGTAATGGTGAACAAACTGTTGACTTTGATTCTCTTGTGGTTAAGTACTTTTGGCAATTTTTAAAAAAAAACACACACACTGTGTGGTATAGTGGCATAAAGCCCAGTAAAACACCTGTTTTTATCGCGTTTACAATTTGAAATTCCTTGCCATCCCAGTTTCCATGAGGAATTATTCTGTGGAACATACTACATAAACTCATGCCTTTCTCATCAGTGGTATTCTCCCACGATATTGTGCTGGGAGTTGCCAGCAGTAATACGAGATGAGTAAAAATGTAATACTTTCTCACTAAACCCAGCCATGTGTGGTTTTCCATATATGGCAAGTTTGTACAGTGGAAACTCACTATGCAGTTCTGTAGCTTAGTGGTTAGAGCATTCGCCCCGCAAGCGAGAGGACCTGGATTCGATTCCCGGGCAGGGCGAAACTTTGGGCAAGTTTCCTTATTCTACACACCTCTGTTCACCTAGCAGTAAGTAGGAACCTGGTTGTTAGTCAATTGGTGTATTACTTTTCTGGGGGTAATCCTTCAAAAAAAATAATAATAATAAATTGGTCACTCAATTCAAGAATGTTTGTGGGACACTGCTGTGCGCAATGGCTGCTACGTTTCGCCCACAAAATATACAATCAATTTACTTTAAGTACATTCTGTGAAGCGCTTTGAGATGTCTCGAAGACGTGATAAGGTGCTATGTCAAATGCAAAGATTATTATTATTACAAAGGATTGGAAATAGACCAATCTATTTCCCCTCTTTCTTGAGTTTGGGATTTTGGCCAATATCATTTTCAAATAAAAAACGACTGAGAGTGGCTTGAATGGTGAGATGCCTTTCTTACTGATGGATCCACATGTTAAGGTTCAGTTGTATCTCCCTAAAGTACCCCTGAATGATAATTAACAGTTTATTAGCATCAATGATCCAACTTCTGAACATTTATTATTAATAATAATAATCCTTGCATTTGATTATAGTGCCTCATCACATCGTCGAGACGTATCAAAGCACTTCAAAGGATATATTGTAAAATGTTTGTATTTTGTGGGCAAAACGTAATGTATTCAGTTCTGAAACTGATCATATTCAAAATAACTTTTCACAAATAAATGAGGTCATTCTAACACGAGGTGAACTAAATGTAAATTAATTGTATCTGATAATATGGCCAGATCGTGTTGGACAAAGAATGGATTGATAATAACAACTTGCATTTATATAGCTGGCCTCGTGCAGGGTAGCGTCCCAGAGCTCTTGACACTAGTAGAGCACATCACTGAGCTGCGGGAGGTGACCCTAGGCACGTTTGAAGAGGAAGGTCATCAGACGCAAACTGAAGACTGGGAAGGAAGATGCAAGGTGGAGTGAAAGAGGAAGAGTGTTCCAGAGTTTCAGGATGTAGTGGCTGAAGGCATGGCCAGCGATAGTGGAACGGAGGGCACAAGGGACATGCAGGAGGCTAAAGCCAGTTGAATGAAGATGGCGGGTAGTAGGTTGGAGAGGTAGGGAGGTGCCAGGTTATGAAGGGATTTGAAACGAGTGTGAGGATCTTGAAATCGATCCGTTCGGGGATAGAAAGCTAGTAGAGCCTGGCTAGAACTGGTTTGATGGAGCTACGGAGTTTAGAACACCAGTTCTAGCCAGGCTCAGAAGATACATTTCTTCAACGTAGATTTTGTCTATTGCCTACCAATGATAACAAGTTTATTTCCTTTTTATCCTTTTAAAGTTTCCTTCCTTTGTTGTGCATCTCTTCCCCTCCCCTCACCCCTCTCCCCATATAGCATTAGGAACAAAGTGTGACCTTCAGAAGAGACCCCAAAGTGCAACGTCTTCATGCCACAGATCCATAAAGAAAGAGCTTGAAACCATTCACGATGCCCTGCTGAATTCAGACAGTGAGCTTGAGAAACTGATTGAAGAGATCCTTGATAATGAAAACATAAAAGGTAGATTCACTGGTTTCCTAAGTTAAAATGCAACTAGTTCTAGATCAGATACATAAAAACAGAAACCTCACATCATCCTCCATTATTTTATCAAAGAGGCTGTGGTTCTGAGCGTTAATACTCAATTCATTGTTCATAGGGATGATGGTAAAAGACTTTATCCATACAGATCAAGTCACTGATTATATTTTTACGGAAGAACCACTGCCAGTTAAAACACTTGATGGAAGCAAGACCCCAAGCTATTTAGCTGCTTTCCCTGCCTCACAGACGCAGGAGAATTCCCGAGAGACTCTTCACTTGTACCTACCTACACAGAAATCTCTGGATAAAGATGAAGTCATAGCTGCCTGGTAAATCAACTTTACAGGACATTTCTTTTCAATCAATCTGTACTGATTCAGTTCTTTAAACCTTCCTCACTAAAATAATTTATTTAAACCCTAAACTAGGGTAAGCTACGATAATGTAATGTAGTGCACATTGTTCTTTTGTGTACCATCTTCCGCATATTCTATAACAATCTTTGAGACATAGATGATGTCTCAAACAATTTTTCTTCTTCCACTTTATGGTTTTCAGGTTCAGAAATATTAGAGAGCAATCAGCTCAGCCTCCCATTCTTTACATCTCCCAAAACGCAGCAACCTTCAGTGAAGAGGGCAGACAAGCCTCCTGGCACCACCTCCACCAGTGCTGTTGTCAACAGTTTACCAGGAGGTAATCAAAGTGGCCTGAGATTATTTGCTCAGTTTAATTTCTGTCAGGAATCAAATGGCCACCATTTCTCGAAACAAAATACAAGCTGGAAACAAATGTATTGGTGTAATCAATGCACAAAAAATCACCAACCTGCTCCGTAAGATCTATTGAGGCCATTCTGTCATCTCATTTACTATATACCGCTCTATAGTAAAGCTTGGTGATTTGTCTGGGATTGATAAAACTCTGCTTGGAGAGATTTTTGCATTTGACTTGAAAGGTTGCAAATTGATTTTGGGGGATTTTTAAACTTAAGTTGAGGTTTCTAGTTTTTTTACCTAAACTGAAAATTGTTCACAATATTCTGCAATAGCAGGAAGGTAATATTACTAGTGTAAAACAAGCTATGTGGCCATCTCAGCCTTGGTTTTTCAGATTGTCCTTTTCAGGCTGCAGTGGTTTTGTTAAAAGAACTGAGTGTTTTTCAAGTCCCTGTGGAAGATGTTCTTGGAGTCGCTATCCACTCCAACCCTAACCTTGCCAATTGATGGAGTATTCTCTTCAGTGGCTCAAGTGTTTGTTTGGACTTTGTTGCTATGTAATACCATCTGCTCTTTGCAGGTGTTTGTGATCATCTCCACACTCTCCAAGCATTTGTTTAAGACAATATTTTCCTGAAAGTGGGAGGGTAACGAGACTGCTGGTTGATAGAGCTTCCAAATGTGACAAAAGAATACAGTAGTGTATTCTTGGTTGCCAAGTACCTAACAATAACTGCATAACCCAAAAGAGAAAAAAAGACCACACACATCCTCGATAAAGTGATAATCCCAGGTGATCACTGACAAGTAACTCTTCAAAAGTACTCTTCTACAGAAAAATAAGTACAAGCAAATGTGCAGGAACCAGAGAAATCGCACTTAAAATATTATCAACTGGTAAGACAGTTATCATAATCAGACCCGTTGCAAACTACTGTATTACCTATTACAAGGGAGATATTGATCAGCTTGTTTTAGTTTCAGCACCAAAAACTTGCTCCATCAGGTGTCCATTAATGAATGGATATTATAACAATAGTAAAACTACATTTATAATAATAATATTTGCATTTGGTACAGCGCTTTATCACATCGGAAGGATGTCTCAAAGCTCCTCATGGGAATTATTGTGAAATTAAGTGACTGTGTATTTGTAGGCAAATGCGGCAGCAGAATTACGCACAACAACGTCTCACAAACAGCCATGGAGTGAGTGACCAATTTTGTTTGGGAGACTTTTGGCAAGGACACTGAGCAAGAAAGAGAAACTCCCTTCTCTTTTTGAATAGTGCCACAGGATCTTTAACATCCACCTGAACAGGCAGACAGGATCTCAGTTTAATGTTTCATCCAAAGGACAGCAGCTCCAACAATGCAACCCCACCTAAGCACCCCCGCGCTTTAGATCCATTGTCAAACAGACAGGCTCAAGATTAATGAGTGCAGTCACATAGAAAAGCTGCCAAGATGGATTACCAGTCATCCTCTGAGGGAAGCATCCTCCAACATATCAATAGATCGCCTTGTTGTCCTCCTGCCTTTCCATTAATCCCACATGGGAGGATAAGAAAGTGGATTCCTATGAATTTAGAATGTGAAGTACTGACGGACGAGGTAGTGAGGAATCACGGTGTGGAAATGTCAGTTGACCAAAGACAATGCCATTAATGTGAGGAAAGTGAGCTCAGGCTCCATGCTGCATAGGATTGAAACACTAAAGTCAGCCATTAGAAAGAGAAAAGTTTTTACAGCTCTCATAGGGTGGCCAGCCTGCATACCCCATTGCTCTGTTAGGAAACAGGGATTGCAAAATCCTTAGCAAAAAATAATATAGAATGCAACAGCCGAGTCAGCAAACATCAAACATCCCAACTTCTAAGTAAGGTCACCTCCACTTTGTTGCTGCATGTTTAAAATAAATAAAAATAATAAGTTGGGCAGTCAATCCACAGACGCCCAAATTATTATTTTTATTTATTTTAAAATTTTGGGCTAACTATATACACGCATTAGTATTGGAACCCATAGTGTGATGTCTGATGAGGAATAAGTGGAAGAAATTGTTGACAGGTTACACAGTATAGATCACACAGGCATTGATTCCTCCAACTAAAGCAGCAGATTTTATAACCTTTGCTGGATTTTCCGGTCAGCTGTCTGACAATTCCATTCATTATTAAATCCATTCTGTTTGTTGCAAGTAAATATTCTTTCTGGGAGAAACACATTTCAGCACAGAACAATGTCATTTGGTCTGTTGTGTAGGTGCCACTGCAACCTGTATTATCATATATAATAATCCTTACATTTAATACAACTCCTGTAACTGAAACATCTGAAAGTGCTACCTGTAAATTGTAGCAACTATTTGTAAGCAAACAGAATGGAAATCCTTAGCTTTTACAACAACGAGATTACATTTGTATAGCGCCTTTCATGTTGGGAGGACGTCCCATATTATTTTGCAACAGTAACAGATTTGACTGAATAGCAACCCTTCAAATATATATGTACCAATAAAATATTAGAAATAAGGTGAATAGTGGGGACAGGGGGGAAAGAAATCTGATATTGAGAAATCTTTGTTTTTATTTATCACAGGCAACCACTTCAAGATGAGGATCCACATAGTTCTGGAGTATCTATTAATCACTTAAAGAATGTACAAAACTATTCTCAGAACGTTTTTGAAACAAGTGGAAGGATTAAGAAGGAAACGACTGCCAATCTTGCTAACCTACTGAAGATTGAGAAAATTCCCTCGAGATCTCACCCAGCGACCAAACAGAGAAGAACAGCAAGTGCAAAGAAGCACGTACACACCACCAAGGTTAATCTGCACTTCGAATATCCCCAAAATAATCTATACGAAAGACCAGTACGACCATTCAAGCATAACTCGATCAAGAACTCAGAAGTCGACTTAACCTTATATGACTTGGAGCTGGAATGAGACAATGGTCACAAATTACAAGATGAAGAATCAGCTGCCAATGCAAAGTCAAGTTCTGATTCTCATCAGTACATTGTCCATGTTACTGACAGACGGGCATCAGAGAGAAAACAAACATACCTGAAGAATTCAGCCCAGAAACTGCTTAGAAAAACCTTGGGATCTTGAACAAATATTTATATTGTCCCAGGGCAAAACTGACTTTTACACAAACCACCACACAAAAAGGCTGAGTGATTTTAGTATTTGTATGCAGTTTTCAAATTCAAGATTAAAGTAGAAACAGTTGTAATAATCCTTGGATTTGATGTAGCGCCTTATCACGTCTTCGAGGCATCTCGGGAATATAATGTAAAGTAAATTGTCTGTATTTTGTGGACCAACGCGGCAACCAATTGCACACAGCAGTGTCCCACAAAGAATGGTGGATTGAATGACCAAATTATTTTTTTCAAGGTTTATTACCCCTGGTAAAGAGATCCATCAATCGACTAACAACTGGGTTCCTACTTAGAAACACAGATTCTGAAGCAGATCGTTTGTAAATATAAATCACCTTTATTTTACCTGATTGTATGCAGTGACTAAACAGAACTGAACTTTGCAAACTCCTGAACTAGATTAGTTTCATCAGAATGTACCAGCAAAGGTGTGATAGAGGTGTATTCTGGCAAATCAACAGGTATATGAAAGAGAGACTTGAAGGGGTATGGGGAAAAGGCAGGGCAGTGGGACTGAAGTGATCTTGCTCTGTGAGCCGGATCGGACTTCATTAGCTGAATGGCCTTCTCCTATGCTGTAGCGTTCTCGGTTAGATAATATTGTCCCCTCTCCCCATGATGAGCCACGCCAGCGGGCTAACCATAGCTCGCTGACCCCCTGGCACACACCCACTGTTCGCTCTTAGTTTTGGCATGCGTACTTTGGCTGCCGCCACCGACCTGAGCTTCCCCATAATGCCACCACCCCTGTCCTCTACCCTCCACTACTCCCGCTCGGCTCTCCTCTCCCACTGTCCTCCCCAACTCCTATCTCTGCTCGACCGTCCCACTGCCTTCTTCTGCTCCAGCCTGCGAATCCTCCATCAAGCCCTCCGTGGGAGTCGCCATTGGCTGTCCAACAGCAGCCACTCTGACTACCCTATCCCCCATTCTCGCCACAACAACAACAACAACAACAAGATTCCATTTATAAAGCGCCTTTCACGTCAGGAGGACGTCCCAAGGCGCTGCACAGTTGGGTCATGACCCGAGCAGGTGGGAAATGGTCAGGGTGAGGGGAGGGAAGGGAGGGAGCAAGGAGGGGGGAAATGGTCAGGGTGAGGGGAGGGAAGGGAGGGAGCGAGGAGGGGGAAGAGAGTTGAGAGGGGAGCTGAAGGCGCGGTCAAAGAGAAGGCACAAGACTCACCGGTCCCCAATCATGGGGGCAACCTCTCCTCCCTGATCCACATCCTCACCCTCCTCGTCAGTCCCCACCCCCCGCCTCTCGCCCCTCACATTCCGTCACCAGAATGTCCCCTCCGCATCACCCTACAAAATGTCCGCTCCCTCTCCAACAAAACACTCACCATCCAAGACCTCATCCTCCACGAAAACATCAACATTCTTGCCCTCACTGAAAACTGGATCACTCCGGGTGACACCCGATAGAGGCCAAGCCACCCGGCTACACCTTCCATCATAGCCCACGACCTAACCGCTGTGGTGGTGGTGTGGCTCTCATCTCCCAGTCCCTGCTCGGCCTATCCCCTTACTCCTCTGGAACTTTCCCCTCCTTTGAGCACCTTACCCTTTATCACCCCTTCAACCTATCCCTCAAAATTCTCCTTATCCACCCTCCCCCACCTTCATCCCTGACATCTCCACCTTCCCATCTTCCCTCTCTCTCTGCTCTGAATGCCTCATACTTGGTGATTTCAACCTTCATTTCACCCCCTCCTGCTCTATCTCTACTGACTTTTCCTCCCTTATCTCCTCACTCAATCTTTCCCTCCACATCCACTCTGCCACCCAAGTCCGCGGTCACCCTCTCGACAACAACAACAAAATGACATTTATAGAGCACCTTTCATGTTGGGAGGAAATCCCAAAGCACTGCTGAGTGTTTTGGAGAGGGTGCGGACATTTTGTAGGCCGACCTGGTGATCACTCGGGGCCTCATCGTCTCGGACCTCACCATCATCGACAAAGCGATTTTGGACCATCACTTCATCTCCCTTAACTCCTCAATCCCTCTCCCCATGCCACCCAACCCACCTCCATCTCCTACCGCCCCAGGAAAAAAATCTCCCCTCCTGCTCAGCTGCTTTGGAGTCATCTGAACTCCTTCCCCTCTGGACACCCTCCCGCAATGACCTATCTTCCTCAGTCACTCTTCTCCTCAGCCCCTCTCATCCATTCTCGATTCACTTGTTTCCCTCTCCTGCCGAACCGTCTCCTATTCATGTAAGTCACCATGGTATACCAGCCACCTCTGCTCCCTTAAAGCACAGGTGCATGCCGCTGAGCACCCCTGGCTTAAATCAAACCTCACGGTCCATCGGCAGATCTGGCTGGACCATATCAAATACTACTGCTCCACCCTTGCTTCCACCAAACTGTTGTTCTACTCCAAGACAATCTTGGAGACTAAGAACAATCTCAGACTCCTCTGCTCCATCACGAACCGGCTCCTCCACCCACCCTCTCATTGTTATCCAACGCCTCTCCTCTCACCTCAACTTTCACGGCACTGTCCTTGACTGGTTCACATTGTACCTCTTACACCGCCACCACTTCATCTCCACAAATGGCTTTTTCTCTAGCCCCCGGACCATCTCAGGCGGTGTTCCTCAGGGCTCTGTCCTTGGTCCCCTCCTCTTCAGTATCTATATGCTGCCTCTTGGTGACATCATCCGCAGACATGGTGTCAACTTCCACAGGTATGCAAATTACACCCAACTCTACCTTTCTGTCTCCACCCTTGACTCCAGGACCCACTGCTGTCCTGACAGAATGTCTGTCAGACATCGTCCTGGATAAGAAATAACTTTCTTCAGTTAAACGTCAACAAAACCGAGGCTCCTGATTGGCTCTGTCAGCGCCTCCTCACCTCAGGCGCTGACACCATCACCATCCATGGTTGCACACTCCACCTTGTTAAGCCAGTCTGGAACCTTGGGGTCTAGTTTGACCTTCAACTATCCTTTCTACCCCACATCTGACTCGCTCTGCCTTCCCCCACCTCAGCAACATCTCCCAACTCTGCCATTGTCTCACACCGCAGGCCACCGAAACTCACACACATCTTCATTACATCGAGGCTCGACTATGCAAACTCATTGCTTGTTGTCTTCCCCAACCCCTCCCTCCATAGGCTGCAGATCATCCAAAACTCTGCCCCCTGCGTCCTCTCCTGCACTAGGCTCCACGACCTTATTACCTCCATCCTTGCCCTCCTCCACTGGCTTCCACAGAGGATAAGTTCAAGATCCTGGTCCTCACCTTCAAAGCCCTCTATGGTCTTGCTCCCCACTACCTCTGCGACCTCCTAACCCCCTACCATCCTGCTCGCTGCCTCCGTTCAGCGGGCTCTGGCCTGCTTCACGTCCCCCACCTCGCTCGCTCTTCTATTGGCGGGCGGGTATTCCACCACTCTGCCCCCACCCTCTGGAATTCCATCCTGCAGTACCACCACCTCGCCCCCTTTCTTGCCACCTTCAAGACCCATCTCAAGACTCTCCTCTTCGTGCTTTCGATCTCCCTGCTTCCCCCCCTGCCCTCCACCCTCCCCAATCCCAAATTCAGGTCCATAACTCTGTCTGTCCAGTGTCTTGGGATGTCCTCTCAACGTGAAAGGCACTTTACAAATGTAATTTTGTTGTTGTTTCTAAAGTAGGGTGAAGAGATAGGTATTTTTGAAAGGAAGAGGCAAGAGCGAGACAGTGGGATTTGGGAAGAGGGTTCCAGAGGGTGTGTTTCAAAGCTCCCGTTGTCCGCTGGCTGGCTGGGGAGCGTGCAATGGTTGTCGATAAATTGGACACTTCAGTTCCTCTTTAAACAACAATCCAAATTAAGGAAATTAATAAAATAAGAAGTTAAGAAATATCCTCTTTCCAGGTGATTCTCGTACCATTACTGAATAGTCCGAGTGCACAGCTGGATTGGTAACAAGATTACAAACGCTTTTATTTGACTTTCATGGAGTTTCTATCCCTCCTCTCAGCCCACAGTGACTCATTCCCTCCTTGTCAGGATTTACTGGGGTTTAGGAAAGCTGGCGGTGTAAATTCAATTAATGACTAACATCAGCTAGAGGCGTTTCTGGACTATCTAATGGCAAACTAGATGTTACATTTGGGAGGAAACATTTTATTGTTCCCAGTTCAGAGTAACAGGATAACAGCAGGTGGTGTGGTATAGAGCAGGATGAAACATGGACTGTGGTGGGGGGGTGGTGAGGGGGATAAAGGGGAGAAAGCGTTTAGAGTCAAAGGACAACAGAATGGTAAATTTATACATCTTACAAATCCCCACTCCCCATATTAATTTAATAATAATCCTTGCATTTGATATACCACCTTATCACATTGTCAAGATGTCTCACAGTGCTTCACACAATTTACTGTGGAGTGACTGTGTATTTTTTTTGTGGGCAAATCTCAGCAGCCGGTTTGCACACAGCAAAGTCCCACAAACAGCCAAGGAGGGAATTTTATTTGGGTGATTTGTTGTCCAGGACACCAGGAAACACCTCTTTTCGAATAGCGTCATACGATCTTTAACATCCACCTGAACAGGCAGACGGGATTAAATTAAAACAACCATTAAAAGCCATTTTGTAATAAATAATTAATGGCATTAATGACAATAAACTAAAGTATTAGCATCAGCTCCCTGGCCAGTGCCCGCATTGGGCAGCAAGCAAGGACCTCATTGGACTCGTCCACCAGCCTCACAAACAGCCTGTCGAGACTCACACACCAGTGACCGATACTGGGATCAGATACAGGAAAGTGGCTGTGGAACGTCTTTTCTCTGTGACGAGCAAGCTGATGGCTACCTTACAACAACAACTTGCATTTACATAGCAACCCTCATGCGGGTAGCGTCCCGGAGCCCTTCACAGTGGTAGAGTCTGACAACGAGCCAGGGGGAGGGGGAATGTGACCATAAGCACAATCAAAAAGTAAGATCTTTAGTCGGAATTTGAAGATGAGGAGGGAGGGGGCAAAGAGGAGGGATTGAGGGAGAGAGTTCCAGAGTTTCGGGGTGTAGTGGCTGAAGGCAAGGCCACCGAT